TATGCACAAATATCCAATCTAGGTGTGAAATTACATAAAATATGTATGCATTTGATATTGACCATTATAATGTGCAGACTTATGCACAAATATCCAATCTGGGTATGAAATTACATAAAATATGTATATTGACTATTATAATGTGCAGACTTATGCACAAATATCCAATCTAGGTATGAAATTACATAAAATATATATGCATTTGATATTGACCATTATAATGTGCAGACTTATGCACAAATATCCAATCTAGGTATGAAATTACATAAAATATGTATATTGACTATTATAATGTGCAGACTTATGCACAAATATCCAATCTAGGTTTGAAATTACATAAAATATGTATGCATTTGATATTGACTATTATAATGTGCAGACTTATGCACAAATATCCAATCTGGGTATGAAATTACATAAAATATGTATATTGACTATTATAATGTGCAGACTTATGCACAAATATCCAATCTAGGTTTGAAATTACATAAAATATGTATGCATTTGATATTGACTATTGTAATGTGCAGACTTATGCACAAATATCCAATCTAGGTATGAAATTACATAAAATATGTATGCATTTGATATTGACCATTAAAATATGCAGACTTATGCACAAATATCCAATCTAGGTATGAAATTACATAAAATATGTATATTGACTATTATAATGTGCAGACTTATGCACAAATATCCAATCTAGGTTTGAAATTACATAACATATGTATGCATTTGATATTGACTATTATAATGTGCAGACTTATGCACAAATATCCAATCTAGGTATGAAATTACATAAAATATGTATGCATTTGATATTGACCATTAAAATATGCAGACTTATGCACAAATATCCAATCTAGGTATGAAATTACATAAAATATGTATGCATTTGATATTGACCATTAAAATGTGCAGACTTATGCACAAATATCCAATCTAGGTATGAAATTACATAAATATATATGAATTTGATATTGACCATTATAATGTGCAGACTTATGCACAAATATCCAATCTAGGTATGATATTACATAAAGTATGTATGCATTTGATATTGACCATTATAATGTGCAGACTTATGCAAAAATATCCAATCTAGGTATGAAATTACATAAAATATGTATGCATTTGATATTGACCATTAAAATGTGCAGACTTATGCACAAATATCCAATCTAGGTATGAAATTACATAAAATATATATGAATTTGATATTGACCATTATAATGTGCAGACTTATGCACAAATATCCAATCTAGGTATGATATTACATAAAGTGTGTATGCATTTGATATTGACCATTATAATGTGCAGACTTATGCACAAATATCCAATCTAGGTATGAAATTACATAAAATATGTATGCATTTCATATTGACCATTATAATGTGCGGACTTATGCACAAAAATCCAATCTAGGTATGATATTACATAAAATATGTATGCATTTGATATTGACCATTATAATGTGCAGACTTATGCACAAATATCCAATCTAGGTATTAAATTACATAAAATATGTATGCATTTGATATTGATCCTTAATAATGTGCAGACTTGTGCACAAATATCCAATCTAGGTGTGAAATTACATAAAATATGTATGCATTTGATGTTGACCATTATAATGTGCAGACTTATGCACAAACATCTAATCCCAGTTTGATATCATATACATGTACAATATATATGCAACGGACATTCACCATTGTAGCAGACTTATGCACAAAAATTCAATCTCAGTATCAAATAACTTGACATGTATATGCATTAGATATTAGCCATTATAATGTGCAGATTTATGCACAACAATTTAACCTTATAATATCATATATCATTTGTGAGCTATGGATACTCATCATTATAATGTGCAGACTTACGAACGAAAAATCAATATCAGTACGATATAGCTTGAAATATATGTGCATTGGATATAACTTAATACAATGTGCAGACTTGTAAACCGAAAATCAAATATCAGTTTGATAGAACATAAAATTTATGTGCATTAGATATTCACCATTATTATGTGCAGACATATGTACAACAACAACAACAACAACAAATAATCAAATTTCAGGATGATTTTTACATGAAATATACATGCACGGGACATGACATTGCAATGTGCAGACTTATGATCACAAAACATATTTCAGTATGTATTACATGAACTATATGTGTATTGTATATTAACCATTATAATGTGGAGACTTGTGCAATTTTTGTACTGTACAAAAACGGTTTAAAAACTTTACAATGTACACAAAAAGGCCTGATTTTTTTACTGGAAGAGCGCCATCTACTGTTCAAGACCTGTATAACATCATTGCAGTGCTAATTACACAATAGGGCTTGGCATTATGAAGTGCTACAGTCTTGAAAGTATAGTGCCCTAAGCACGTACATGTACGTGGTGAGCACATATATCCAATCTCAGTATTAAATCATGTAAAATATATGCGCATTACATATTTACAATTGTAATGTGCAGAATCATACCATACAAATCCAATGTCAGTATATCATATCAATATATATGCAATGGACATTCACCATTTTGGTGTATATACTTATGCATAAAAATTCAATCTCAGTATGATATCAAATGAATATTTATATATACTTCGCTTCAATATATGACGCCCTATATACATAATAATCCAATTTTAGTTTAATATCGTATGAAACATTTATGCATTGGGCATTCACCATTATATGTATGTACTTATATATTTTCAGTCAACATAGGGAGATATATTATCATATGAAATACATATTTACCATTAAAATGTGCAACTTTATACATAAAAATCCAATATCAGTACGATATTACATGAAATATATGTGCATTGGATATTATTTATTTACAATGTGCAGACTTGTTACAACAAAAATCAGATGTCAGTATGATATTACATAACGTACCGTATATGTGCATTGGATATCAACCATTATAATGTGCAGATTTATGCACAAAATAAACTTTATTCGTGATATATATATATATATATATATATAATATATGCATCGTTCGTTGCACACGTATGCACTTATCAATTTATACTCAACACACAGAGATATAATATCATATAAATACATATACATTGAACATTTAGCATCGAGTGCAGGCTTATGCCCATGAATCCTAAACGAGTACATTATGATATCATATACTGTATAGTGCATCCATCATGAAAAATGTGCAGACACAACAAATATATTCTAAAAAGAGAGACGCATTCGACAAGCACCATTTCAATGTGAGGACTTATTCACGCAAAACGTATATCAACAGTGAGTTAGGATATCATATTATTACCAGTCAACATTACGTGCAGAGTTATGCACAAAAGTATATGGAAGTGATAGTTTTAAGTATACATTTGATAATCGACATGTCAAGACTTATGCATAACAATTTAATAAAGTCAAGACCGAGATATGATATTATACAAGATGTAAATACATTGGACATTCAAGATGTGTAGACTTGTACACAGAATACAGTGAACTGAGATATTATATATATTAAACGAAATCTATACAACGTGATGTTCATTTCGCAATACATGTGCAAACCTATGCAGACAAGTCCTATATCCATAGTGCAAAACATATAATATGGCATTTCCATTTAACATTCACTATTATGATCTCCAGACTGATATATAAGACATATACACTGGATAGACACCGTGTGTAGACCTTTTGCACAAACATGTAACCTCTACAGTTAGATGTGAGATCATATGAAACATACATTTCCATTGCAATGGCGAAAGACGAAGTCGCTCACATACTCAATAAATGGGGACTTTGAAGATGGCATTAGTTCATTTTAGGTAGGCAAATTCAAATTACACAAGCAACCCTGAGGGTTTTCCAGATTATTCGTTAGTTCTTAAGACACTGATGTTAAAATTTGCGAAATGCATACATCAATTGTTGCTAGGTAGCATAGACATTATGGCTTGTCCTACCTAACAACACGGAATGTCTGCGATTCGCAATCTGACCATTGAAATACAATAATTCATAACAGGTAAAATAATTTGTGATGAGGCACTATACAAAGATGTTTGCATTAAATTTGATTACATTACGAAAATGGCCTATTCTCAAAATAAAAAGGGGAAAATAAAACAAATGGGACTCACATACAAACCAGGCAATTTTAAAATAATAGTAGATGGGACCAAATTCGAAATACATTGGCTAATTTGCCATTTTCTAGGCCACTTCTACCCATTAAAAAGAAACTATTTTTAAAGGCAAAAGTGTGAGTTTGGTTATTGAGTTTCGCCTTTATGTATTTTATGTACGTATAAAGAGGGGGTAATTAGCATGCATGGTAGAGAAATGAACCATACATATAAAAACATTTTAACTACTTACTCATCAATTTTCCTTCTTAATACTATCTTGCCATATCGTCGTCCAGGAGGTCGTTTGCCAGACGACTGTGATTAATCGCAATCTGGCTTTCCTCAATTGTTCACATTCTTTAGTCCTTTTAGTCCTGCTCCTGCAATCCCGAAGCATACTAAGTATTCCAATGTATGTAACATTCTGGTTTCTTACGTTGGTTTGTATGTAACGTTGTATATCCGGAGGTTTAAAACACAATTGCCCGCCTAGACTGTCGATGTCAGCATCTTTATGACTCCCCTCAGCTATTGTCCTGAGAAGGTCGTCAAAATCCTGCTCCCTGGATTTTTCAGTAGGTCTACATTTATATGAAGAAAGTATGACATTTTACTTTTTATTTAATAATCTCAATTGACCGATTTCACTGGTTTGAAATTTGTTGTTCCACATTTACTTGTACATCAAGAAACAATTACAATTCATTCAAGCTTCGGTGGGAAAACGATACGGGTATATATACTAAACTTGAATAAACTTATTTATAATGTATGGGGAACTTGGCTAATAAATACAAAGTTTTTAGGGAAATATAGATGCGACAGTAAAAGAAAAATCGTTGCAAACTACCTGATAAGGCTGTAAACATTACATGGCTGGCCATTCATGCCATTGATTGCTCTCACCACTATGATCTTAACATCGTATATAATAATTTTTCCTTCAAATAATGAATTATAAAAAATTGTAAATTATGTAGATTAATTGTGACCATGATTGTGTATGTCCCTTGAGAGACCAAGGCTAGTAAAAAGTGAGAGCAAACAGTGGCATGAACGGCCTGTCATTGTTAAGTCCAACTTAAAGTGATCTTAGTCTTTGTGAAACACCCCCCCCCCCCCCAAGTTGTGTATTTTGTCATACTCCCCCTGTTTACAATTCTGGAGAATGTAACATCATTGCGGCAAATACTATGGAAAGACCTCAGGGGAGGACCAAAATGTATAGCATTTTATACTTTCATCTTTTATTAAACATCAAGGTAGATAAATTTGACATAAAGACTTTCTTTTTAAATGTTTACCTTGAATAGATCAGCAATGATTTCGTTTCCGGGGATCGAGGCCAGATGTAGAGGTGTCTGGCCGTACATGTCTCCTATGTCAAAATGTGCTTCTCCTTCCATAAGGGCTTTAACAACATCAAGGTAACCCTTCTGAACAGCGTGGTGTAATGCAGTCCTACCGTCATTATCTCTCTGATTCACCTCAGAGCCTTGGCTGATGAGATATTTTGTGATATCAAGATGACCCTTCCAAACAGCAAGTTGAAACGCTGTCCAACCATCATTATCTCTCTGATTCACCTCAGATCCTTTGCTGATGAGGTATTTGGTGACATCCAAATTACCATTAAAAGCAGAACTGCTTAATGCAGTCCTACCGCCATTAGTTCTCTGATTTACCTCAGCTCCTTGGCTGATGAGGTATTTGGTGACATCAAGATGACCACTGAAAGCAGCACTGTATAATGCAGTCGTACCTACGTTATCTCCCTTATTGACCTCAGCTCCTTGGGTGATGAGATGTTTGGTGACATCAAGATGACCAGTCTGAGCAGCAACTTGTAATGCAGTCCGACCGCCATTATCTCGCCTATTCACCTCGGCTCCTTGGCTGATGAGAATTGTGGTGATATCAAGAAGACCCTCCCCAGCAGCAAGTTGTAACGCTGTCCTACCGTCATTATTCCCCTTATTCACCTTAGCTCCTTGGCTGCAGAGATATTTGGTGACATCAAAATGGCCATGGAACGCAGAACTGCTTAATGCGGTCCAGCCGCCATTATTTCCCTTATTCATATCAGCTTCTCGACTAATAAGGTATTTGGTGACATCAAGATGACCCTCCTGAGCAGCAAGGTGTACTGCAGTCCAACCGTCATTATCTCCCCTATTCACCTTAGCTCCTTGACTGATGAGATATTTGGTGACATCAAGATGATTATTGAAAGCAGAACTGCTTAATGCAGTCCGACCGCTATTACTTCCCTTATTTATCTCAGCTTCTTGACTGATGAGGAATTTGGTGACATCTAGATGACCAGCCTGAGCAGCTAGGTGTAATGCAGTCCAACCGAAATTTTCTCCCTTATTCACCTCAGCTCTCTGGCTGATGAGATATTCAGTGACATCAAGATGACCCTTCCAAGCAGCAACGTGTAATGCAGTCCAGCCGTCATTAACTCCCCTATTCACCTCAGCTCTTTGGCTGATGAGATATTTGGTGACATCAAAATGACCCTTGCCAGCAGCAACGTGTAGTGCAGTCCAGTCGTCATTATTTCCTTTATTCACCTCAGCTCCTTGACTGATGAGATATTTGGTGACATCAAGATGCCCACCCTGAGCAACAGGGTTTAATGCAGTCCAACAGGCATTATCTCCCCTATTCACCTTAGCTCCTTGACGGATCAGATGTTTGGTGACATCAAGATGCCCATCCTGAGCTGCAGGGTCTAATGCAGTCCAACCGTCATCATCTCCCCTGTTCAACCCAGTTTGTTGACTGATGAGGTAATTAGTGACATCAATATGACCCTTCCCAGCAGCAACGTGTAATGCAGTCCAACCGTCATTATTTCCCTTGTTCACCTCAGCTCGTTGGCTGACGAGGTATTTTGTGACATCAAAATGACCATTGCCAGCAGCGATTTGTAATGCAGTCCAACCCCCATTATTTACCTTATTCACCTCAGCTTCTTGGCTGATGAGATATTTGGTGACATCAAGATGACCATTCTGTGCAGCATTGTGTAATGCAGTCCCACCCACATTATTTCCCTTGTTCACCTCAGCCACTTGGCTGATGAGATATTTGGTGACATCAAGATGACCATTCTGTGCAGCATTGTGTAATGCAGTCCCACCCACATTATTTCCCATATTCACCTCAGCTCCTTGGCTTATGAGATATTTGGTAACATCAAGATGGCCATTCCCGGCCGCACTGTCTAAAGCATTCCTACCGTCATTGTCTCTCTTATTCACCTCAGCTTTTTGGCTGATGAGATATGTGGTGACTTCAAGATGACCATTCTGAGCAGCACTGTGTAATGCAGTCCAACCAACATTGTTTCCCTTATTTACCTCGGCTCCTTGGCTGGTGAGATATTTGGTGACAAAAAGATGACCCTTGCCAGCAGCGACGTGTAATGCAGTCCTACCCACATTATTTCCTTTATTCACCTCAGCTCTTTTGCTCATGAGATATTTGGTGACTTCAAGATGACTATTCAATGCAGCACTGTGTAATGCAGTCGAACCCTTATTATCTCCATTGTTCACCTCAGCTCCGTCATTGATCAGATATTCAGTGACATCACGATGGCCCTTGCCAGCAGCGACGTGTAATGCAGTCCTGCCCTCATTATCTCCTCTATTCACCTCGGCCCCTTGGCTGATGAGATATATGGTAACATCAAGATGACCCCTCCCAGCAGCACCGTGTAATGCAGTCCTACCCACATGATTTCCCTTATTCACCTCAGCTCCTTGGCTCACGAGGTATTTGGTGACTTCAAGATGACTATTCAATGCAGCACTGTGTAATGCAGTCGAACCCACATTATTTCCCTTATTCACCTCAGCTCTTTTGCTCATGAGATATTTGGTGACTTCAAGATGACTATTCAATGCAGCACTGTGTAATGCAGTCGAACCCTCATTATCTCCCTTGTTCACCTCAGCTCGTTGGCTGACGAGGTATTTTGTGACATCAAGATGACCCTTGCCAGCAACAACATGTAATGCAGTCCTACCCTCATTATCTCCTCTATTCACCTCGGCCCCTTGGCTGATGAGATATACGGTAACATCAAGATGACCAGTCTGAGCAGCAACTTGTAATGCAGTCCGACCGTCATTATCTCCCCTATTCACATCCGCTCCTTTGCCGATGAGATATTCAGTGACCTTAAGATGACCCTCCCCAGCAGCACCATGTAACGGGTTCCTACCGTTATTATCTCCCTTATTCACCTCAGCCCCTTTGCTAATGAGGTATTCGGTGACATCAAGATGATCATTACAAGCAGCATCGTGTAATGCAGTCCTACCGTCATTATTATCCTGATTGACTTCAGCTCCTTGACGGATGAGATATTTGGTGACATCAAGATGACCCTTGCCAGCAGCAACGTGTAATGCAGTCCTCCCCACATCATTTCCCTTATTCAATTTAGCTCCTTTGCTGATGAGATATTTAGTGACATCAAGATGACCCTTCTGAGCAGCAAGGTTGATTTCTGTCCAACCGTCTTTATCTCCTCTATTCACTTCAGCTCCTTTGCTGATGAGGTATTTGGTGACATCAAGATGACCATTGAAAGCAGCAAGGTGTAATGCAGTCCTACGCACATTATCTCCCTTATTCCCCTCAGCCCCTTGGCTGATGAGATATTTGATGACATCAAGATGACCATTGAAAGCAGCAAGGTGTATTGCAGTCCTACCCACAGTATTTCCCTTATTCACCTCAGCTTCCTGGCTGATGAGATAAATCACTATTTTAAGATGGCCATTAAAAGCAGCACAATGTAATGCAGTCCTACCGTCATTATTACCCTGATTGACTTCAGCTCCTTGGCTGATGAGATATTTGGTGACATCAAGATGACCTCCCTTAGCAGCACAGTGTAATGCAGTTCTGCCGTCAGTATTTCCCTCATTCACCTCAGCTCCTTGACTGACCAGATATTTAGTAACATCAAGATGACCATTCCTTACAGCGCTGTGTAATACAGAATAGCCGGCCTTGTCTTCTTTGTCCATATTAGCTCCATGAATGACTATAACTTTCACTGCTTTCAGACATCCAAGTGATGCAGCAAGATGTAAGGGTGTTTGTCCATCTGGGGTCGCCTTCTCCACATCGGCACCTTGGTGTATAAGATACTCAGTGACGGTTCTATGGTCATTCTTCACAGCGTTATGCAAACTTGTATTTCCATCTTGGTCTGTCTGGTTTAAGTCGGAACCCTGTTTTAGCAGTTTTTTGACGGTTTTGATTTTACCCCTCAATGCTGCCTGATGAAGCTGTTGATTTGTGTCCTCCATACTTGAAGTAGCACCGGTTAATCAGACATCCTAATCTAGCACAGTTTCTTGTAATCGACTACTTCACTAATTACGCTCGACTTCGAAATATTGCGCTTAAGAATATTATCGTTTTCGTAGCAGATAGTGCGGCTACATTATGCATGTTATCATCATAAGTATACATTGTACAGATTTTCTTTTTGTTAAATTCGTAATCCCAATGTGCCACGTCAGTTTTTTCATTTTCAATAAGTTTCAAAGTCCTGTGCAGTGAACTAAATCCTAATGCAAATATTCAACTAAATTCAAATATTTGTCGTTCCTATTCTCTTGTTAGGCTTTTCTCTTTCTCTTTTTCTTCTTTTTCATCAACAATCAGCAATCATCAACCTTTCAATCCATATAGAGCGAGAGCATTTCCCACCCCCTCCTTCCCTTTCCCTCTAAAATAAAGGTTTGAAAAGTTGTTCCATTCGTCTTTTCACGGAAACATACATTTACATTAAACTAAATAGGAACATGTTAAAGGAGGAAAATAGTCTTGCCTAAAGAAGAAGAAACAGTCCACGTTTGACATGTTTTATGACACGTCTCGTTATGAAGAAGCATATTTGCCCCCCACTGACGTTTCTTACTAAAAAAAAATAATTAAAATACTGATTATGCGTGGTGGATGCTGATTCCTACCCTTTAAAGGTAATACAAAGTATTGGGAAATTTTGAAAATTGGGTGGATAGCGATTCTTTACAATTTTGATATATTTGGATGCCCCTATGGATGTTTTATGAGAACAAGACAATTTAGCTTTTAAAACACTTCTGATTTCGAGAAAAGTTGAATATACAAATTTACCGGTGCTCCCGGTAAATTTTGATGAATTCCAAGTAGCCCCTACGGCCGTACAATGGTAGCTGCGACCATGAAAATCTCAGAATATGTAGTTGTGATATATAATTTTCAAACAGGAATAGCTAATCGGCAGATTTTAGTCAAGAAACATTGTTTTATAGCTTAATTAATATATCGACCTTGAGAGGGAGCTATACAACATAAAAAGTTTATAATTTACCATTTCATAACTTTAGACTCGCTTTCAACCGCGACAACGATCACTGAATATTGTAGGATCGCATATGCTTCCATTATGTTCATTTGAACCAAATTCATGACCCCATACCAAAACGTGGTATTACCTTTAAAGGTAAAACAAAGTTTTGGTAAATTTGAAAATTGGGTGGATAGTGAATATTTACAATTTTGATATATTTGGATGCCCCTGTGGGTGTATTATAAGCACTAAAAATATTAGCCCCTAAAACACTTCTGTTTTCGAGAAAAATTGAATATACAAATTTACCGGTGCTCCCGGTAAATTTTGATAAATTTCAAATGACGCCTATATGGCCGTACAATGGTAGCTGCGACCATGAAAATCTCAGAATATGTTATTGTGATATATAATTTCCAAACGGGAATAGGCAATAGGTCGAGTTTAGTCATTAAACATTGTTTCGTAGCTAAATTAATATCTCGACCTTAAGAGGGAGCTATACAACATAAAGAGTTTATTATTTATAATTTCATAACTTTAGACTCGATTTCAACCGCGACAACGATCAATGAATATTGTAGAAACGCATATGCTTCCAATATGTTAATTTAAACCAAATTCATGACCCCATACCAACACTTTGTAATACCTTTAATATATAGTTGAATTACTCATGAAAAAAAGAAAATATTAACTCTGATTATGGCATTAGGTATGGTAATGATAATGCGGTGAAGGTGAGGATAAATAATCGTAATTGTGATATCAACGACGACGACGACGGCGACGACGATGATGATGTGTCCAGTATTCTAATGAGTATGGTGATCATGGTAATGGAAGTACAGATAAAGATGTAGAATTATTTCCAGTCAACAGTATTCATCCGTTGCATTGCAGTCCATGGAGCAGGGCGGCGATCCCGGAGGGAAGGGGGGGGGGGGGGGGGGGAAACGTCCCCCTCATTTTTTTCAGGGGGGATCGCCCCCCCCCTGAAATTTGAAAAAGTGCATTAAGAAAATGTATAGTTAATACTGACTAAAGACTGCAACACACTTTTAGGCTCTGGATGGCCCAAGAGTGCAGCGTTTAGACTAATAAAAATGCACAAATCTTCTAGCTCGGTCGGTACGCTCTCTCGCATAATATCCTTTAGAATGTACAAGTAGATATCGTAGAAAATCTGTATTCCGTTGGTATGACCATGATACCCACTAGCGTACTGATATGGGGGGGGGGGGCATTTGCCTCCTCCAAATAAAATTCAAACTTGTTGTATTTCTAATTCGATACCCGTGATTTACAAATGTTGCTGAAATTACATGATTTTTCGTAATGTTTCCTCACCTTTGTGTAAATTATACGGGTTTTTTTGCGTTTGTTGGACAATTAAAATTCCAAATTTACAGTCTGGCAAACCATATGCTTATTAAGAAGTCTACATGTCAGGGCCTACGAAACGACAGGGCTCGGGGCTCGGGGGCTCGAGCCCCCCCCCCACACTTTTTTGAAAAAGTATGTCAAAGATAAATAGAAAGAAAGAAATAAAGGATAGTGGCCTGTCAGTGTCACAAATAAGGAATAAAAATAGGCTCATCCGACCTTATTAAAGGCCTAAAACATCTGAGCTTACGGAGACTTTGCCCCCTTGGACCCCTCCAGGGGCCATATGACGGGCCCCTGGATGCTCATCTGACCGTACTTTAATCCCTAAACCCCTTCGAGTGTCACAATAAGGTATCAAAATATGTTCATCTGACTGTAATTAACTGCCCGAAACCCCCAGCTTCCGGGGGCTTTGGACCGACCCCACCAAAGGATCCAGGATGGGCCCCTGAATGCTCATCTGACCGTAATTTAATGCCTAAAGCCCCTGAGATACATGAGGCTCAGCCCCCTGAACCCCACGATTAGTAACCTGCCAGTTTTACTAATAAGGTGTCGAAAATATGCTCATCTGAACGTAATTAAATGCCTAAAACCCCTGAGCTTCCGAGGGCTCCGCCCTTGACTCCCGCCGGGGCTTTGCCCCTAGAGCCCACGCCAATTTACGCCAATTTACGCTCTTCCTGATTGTAAAT